TGTATTTGTTCCTTGCCCTTTCTCTCAAGGTTTCTAGAAATGGTTGGGTGGGATTCTAGGATGGGATCTCAATAAATTTCAAGATGTGTTAACAGCTTGGGACCTTTTCAATTGGATGGATAATTTATATAACAAGTCAAAACAGTTGCAAAGTTTTTTTTTTCTGCAGGTCTGTGGTACATTTAGAGGGAAAGGAATACTAGATTTCATGGTTCCAATAGCCTTGGTTTAGAGGTGGTGGCATGTAACGACCCACTCTACCACATGGTATGATATTGTCCACTTTGGGCTTAAGCCCGCACAGTTTTGCTCTTGGGCTTCACCCCAAAAGGCCTCATACCAATTAGAGATGACACACTTACATATAAGCACTTCACATTTGCTCTACCAAGGCGATGTGGGACTGTGCACCCGTAACTCGCCAGTGTGGTAGCCTGACAGTGTCTCTTACACCCGCCCACAAGGTCATCATAATCCAACCCTTTGGGGGGACGTCGCACTTCCGGCTGGGTCAGGCTCTGATACCATTTGTAACGACCCACTCCACCACATGGTATAATATTGTCCGCTTTGGGCCTGAACGCGCACGGTTTTGCTCTTGGGCTTCACCCCAAAAGGCCTCATACCAATTGGAGATGACACACTTACATATAAGCACTTCATCTTTTCCTCTCCCAGGCGATGTGGGACTTGTGCACCCGTAGCTCGCCAGTGTGGTAGCCTGACAGTGTCTCTCGCACCTACCCACGGCACACCCACCCACAAGGTCATCACAATCCACCCCTCTTGGAGGCCCGACGTTCTCATCGGCACATTTCTGGTTGGGTCAAGCTCTGATACCATTTGTACGGACTTTATATATATGTTTATGGTACCACGAGATGAGCTTGAGTCTCAGACTCGTTGGTTAGGGTGCGTATATGCAGTAGATGCGTAACTGGCTATAGTAGTTTGAGGTGTGCATTGTGATGACCTTGTGGGCGGGTGTGCCGTGGGTGGGTGCGAGAGACAGTGTCAGGCTACCACATTGGCGAGCTACGGGTGCACAGTCCCACATCGCCTGGGTAGAGGAAAGGTGAAGTGCTTATATGTAAGTGTGTCATCTCCAATTGGTATGAGGCCTTTTGGGGTGAAGCATAAGAGCAAAACTGTGCGGGCTCAGGCCCAAAGCGGACAATATCATACTATGTGGTGGAGTGGGTCGTTACAGATGGTATCAGAGCCTGACCCAGCTAGAAGTGTGCCGACGGGGACGTCGGGCCTCTAAGGGGGGTAGATTGTGATGACCTTGTGGGCGGTTGTGCCATGGGCGGGTGCGAGAGACACTGTCAGGCTACCATACTAGCGAGCTACGGGTGCACAGTCCCACATCGGCTGAGTAAAGAAAAGGTGAAGTGCTTATATGTATGTATGTCATCTCCAATTAGTATGAGGCATTTTTTGGTGAAGCCCAAGAGCAAAACCGTGCGGGCTCAGGCTCAAAGCAGACAATATCATACCATGTGGTGGAGTGGGTCGTTACATGGCAAGGACTGCCTTCCTGAAAGTGTGTGATGTTCAGATAATTAATTTTAATGATGTTATTATGTAATCGTTATTTTGGTATAGTGCTTTTGTACTGGAAATGGGCTTATTTATTAAAGCACATATTCTTAGTTTTTCTTATTTTTCTGTTCTCTGAGGGTATGCCCTCTATGTTCCTATATTCCGGTTTATTTTTTGAGCTCAATATAACACCAATTATGAAAAAAAAAAAAAAAAAAAAAAACCTTAAAAATTAAAGCGGGGAATGATATGATACTCTTAAAAAGAAGTCACCTATATGAGTATGAAATGGGGCCGCTTCTATGAAAACTATAAAGGCCAAGTTTTCTAGAGCACTCATGAATACCAGGAGTTGTTCAGCGCCAAAATGAACACAACAATGAGAATTAACTCTGTAAGGAAGGTATCTATACGTTTGCTATTGTCTTGGTTTACATCAACGGCTAAACAGTTCAAGACATCACATTCATTGGTTAACTAGTAAATTCGATAGTAATACACTAGGGAAGGTTCAAGGCCAAAAACTACATATCATGATGTAGTAACTTTCTGACTATACTCTCTCTAGTGTTTGCATAATCATCTTTTGAATTTAAGCAGCCAATTTCCATTCATATGGGGGGATTGTTGGAATATGTGAATGCAACTTGCCTATAACGTGTCTACGTATATCACGTTAGACAGTAACGTGAGTGTCAATGGTACAAGGTCACTCATACACAGTGACATGAACAGTTAAAGTATCCTTTAATGGGAAACCCGATTGTCCTTTAACGTATTCTCTGGTGGATATTTGGACTCTACCATAACTAGGGTAGAAGAAAAGACGTTCTTCAGAGAATCACAGAAAGGGATGAAGTCATGGATTTCAAAGAGGCAGTTGTAGGCTAAACCAACACAATCATTTAAACCATTAATGCATCTGGTGGTAATGTCGTGTGACAAACAAACACAATGTTTCAGATATTTCCAGAATAACGATGAATTGTATTTAATTTGAAACGTTGCAGTAGATGGTGAAGTGACGCACCCAGTCCCAATAAACACCACTTTGTCTATAAATACCCCTATGGGCTGTATTAATCATTTGTTCAATTATCTAATTTTCATCTCTCCCTCCCCAGACTTGAACCCAACCCAAGTGGGTTCAGTCCATAGGTCAAGTGGTCCGAGCCACTGAGACCACAATATAATTTCATTGAGCCATTTTAAAATTAGTCCGAGCCATTTGGTTTGAATTGCACCAATTTCATTATTTTTTTTTAGTATAAATGCATTTTTTAAGTTAGAGAGAGTATAACACAGAGAAGGTTCGCCGTATGTACGAGTTTGTAATGTTACTACTGGTGGATGTAAACTGTTATATCGTAGGAGACAAGTGCCACTAATTCTCTTAACACCATGCGGGGCGTAAATTGTCTTAAAGACATAATATTCAATACTAGTCTTGATTCTGATTCTTTATTTAGTATTATTATTTTATTGATTTAATTTGCATATTTAATTAATTATTTTTAACATATTATTGATTGTTTCATAGCAGATTAATCTAAAGATAGTTATATCTTAAATTTCATTTGCAGTTTATATTTTTCAACCGAAACTAAAAATGTTCTATATGGCCTGAACTAAAGAGCAAAGCGCCTTTTCTTCCTAATTTTTCAAACAATATATGTGTGTGTACATAAGCTTGAAGGCATTAAAAACTAACCATTATAGTCAAACATAAAAGCCAACACGTACTGTTCTTGTTAGTGTTCTTTTACTCACCTTTAACTTGCTGTCCTAAATAGACAAACATATAAGCTGGCCAAATGAGGATTCAACATGAGTGTTCATTCTCCGCGTACAGAGTGTGTACTATAAATAAAAAATGGCGACAAATTGCAAAATTCCATGGTCGAAAATGTTATAATTATGTCAATGCCTGTATGGAGATACTCTAACCTTGAAAACATCCATGAACGGTTGGATCAAGAGAATATTATAAATATCTTACAAAATATGTCTCAAAATTATTACATTTTTTTTTTTGGTAGGACCAATCTAAGTGTGGTCAATCTAAAGTGTTCTTTAAATTTTAGTGGTGTTCTAAGTGTGATAATAAAGTCCAACATCACGGCGCGTTATTAATTTTCAATATTCACAAGAAAAGAGGGGGGGTTAAGTGGTGTAACCATGTAGAGACAAGTGGGGGCAATTGCCCCCACTCAATTTTTAAATTTTATATGAAAAGATTTTTATTTTTGTATTATTCTTCCCTCTAAAAATTAATATATATATATATATATATATATACACACACACATATACGGTTTTACACTAAAAAAAAAAAAAAAAAAGAAAAAAGAAAAGAAAAAAAAAAAGAAAGAGCCACAAAACAAAGGAATATAATCATCACATAATTGTAAATATTCTATCAACTTATTACTTTCCCTAAAATATGATATTTTTTTTCTATTTTCTCAAAATATTATATTCTTTCCTAATATTCTATCACACTTTTGACTTACCACAAATAAATGGACTATTTCCATCATATTTTAAATTTTTAACATTTTTCACAATTCAAACAAAGCAAGCGGTCGTGATACTAATTATTATTCTCTAAATAACACTTAGAATTTATTTTTATTTGCAGCCCAAATCAATGAAATCACAGATTAATTGTTATTATAGATTTTTATTTTTACATATGTGATATATTAAAACTGGTAACTGTTGTTTTTTTTTTTTTTTTTTTTTTTTCATTGAATATGATTTTTTTTACTATATTTAATTAAATGAACTCAATTTTGAAACAGTAATGAATAATTTAAGAATGTACTGAATAGAAATATAATGAATCAATGTTTTAATTTTTACATATATTGTTTTGGTTCAAATTATATATATATATATATATCTATTATTGCTATTAAAGATTGGCCTCACAGAAGAAAATTTTTGACTACGCCACTGAGAGGGTTTGTGTGTGTGTGTGTGTATATATATATATATATATAACAAGGATATTGAAAGTTATATATGAGAACAACAAAAGTGTAAGCATGTGTGTGGCAAGGTTGTTTATGAGGTGGGGAAGATGATAATCCCAAATAGAGAGAGGGAGAGAAAGAAAGGACAGAGAGACTAGATTAAAAAATTAGGAACAAATTTGACTTTTATAAGCTTTTTTTAATGATGTTACTAACGAAAAAAATAAAACTGAATCTGAGGATGGTAATTTTTAAAAAATATTTTAATCCAACATTTCGTCAAAGGAACGTTCCCGAAATTAATCCAAAAAAAACTAAACACAGATGGACTCTATTTGTTTGCAATTGCAACCCAAGATGACAAGATACACCATCAAATCATGTGGTGGGGTCTATTCTAGAGAAAGATCACACGAAAATTTATTCAAATAAATACACCAAAAAGTAAAAGCCTTTATTACATATTCTAAAGAGATAGACATTGCAGGTTCGGGATTTACTAGACTTGCCCGCCACGTAAAAACCCTAGAAACTTCTTCAGTCCTCTGTTCACCCATTCCACCTCACACAATACAATATATAAAAGCCCATTTCCCCATTCTTTGTATCACAACCACTCACAAGTCACAAGAACCGACCTTTCCTAAACCCATTTCAAATCACTACCTTACTACCATCACTTTTTCAGGTCTAACGTTGTTGATCTTCTTCATAAGCTGCTGAAAATGTGTGGCGGTGCATTAATTTCGGAGCTCATCCCTCGCAGCCGCGACCGCGACCGCGACCGCCGCGTCTCCCCCGCTGACCTCTGGCTCACCTCTCCCTTTGCCAAGCTCAACCCAGATCAGCTCGGACAAAATCACCAACAGCTCACCCACAAAAGGTCTCAACCTTGTACAGGTAAAATCTCTACTTTTCCTCTGCTTTGTGACTGTTGTTTCTGATTTGGGACTTTATTCGAGCAGGTGATGAGCATGTTGAGAAAGCACCCAAGAGGCAGCGCAAGAACTTGTACAGAGGAATAAGGCAGCGTCCATGGGGAAAATGGGCAGCTGAGATTCGAGACCCGAGGAAAGGTGTCAGGGTTTGGCTCGGTACATTCAACACGGCCGAAGAAGCTGCGAGAGCATACGACAAGGAGGCTCGCAAGATCAGGGGTAACAAAGCCAAGGTTAATTTCCCCAATGAGAACAGCGATTACAACCACCCCACACCAGGTCAAAATCACCTACCTCTCACTTCTCGCAACCCCACATGCAATGGGTTCCCTGCTAATTCGAACCAGATTGGGACATACCCGTCTAATGGGTTCTACAGTGTCCCTTCTTCTGTGAACCCTGACCCTGTTGCTGAAGAAATTTCTTGGTCTGGTTCAGAAAATGGGTACTCTTCTTCCATGAAGGTGGAGGACAAGGAAGAGGAGGCGAAGCAAGAGGCGGTGCCGGTGATAGATTTGGAGGCAGAGGAGGAACAGAACGAAATTCAGAAGCTGTCGGAGGAGCTCATGGCCTACGAGTCCTACATGAAGTTCTACCAGATTCCGTACCTCAACGGAGAGTCTTCGGCGGCGCCGCTACCCAACCCAGCTCAGGATACCGCCGTAGGCGGTGTCGCCGTCGACCTCTGGAGCTTCGATGATATCACTCCGGCGTGATCTAAATCGCCACATTCCATGTTTTTGTTTTGTTTTTTTATTTTTTATTTTTTTTTTGTTTTTGCTTATGTTTTTCTTTATTCTTTTTAAGGAAAATAAAAAATAAAAAATTCTCTGTAATTTGTAAATTAAATATATTTAAATGATTTGCCTTCGTGGTTGGATAGGTGTGTTTTTAATTTGTTCTTTTCAACAAACTATATATAAATGTAACTAAAGAAAAAATAAATAAAAAAAGCCCTGAATTTAAGAGAGGTTAATTTAATTCGAGACGTTCATATATTTATTGTAACAATTCTCTAATTTTTAGTATTTTTAGATATGCTTTTTAAGCTGCACATTCAAGTCACATGTACAAATTTCTATGACTAACTCCATTATTTATTTATATATACAATATTTATTGTTGATGAGCAAAAGGTGAGTTGAATGATCTTAAAAAAAATTTACTTAAAAAAAATGTGTGAGTTGAATTGTGTGATTCTTAGAAAAACAGATCTCTTTGTAATAAATAAATTCATCTTCTAAGTCTGAAAATATTTTGTTTTTAATCCCTTACAAAATATTTTTAATTTCTTTACAATTTTCTTAATAGTAATAATAAGTTAAATTATTGAATTTATTAGGTTAAACAAAAATATTCACGCCCACCCTTGTTTTAAAAAATTGGTGTCACATCTCTTCAAATTTATACTAGGTTATACCCTACATTAAAGTTGAGCCATTAACCTTAATTTTGTTGTTACTAGCAAGTAGAAATTTTATAAAAGTATTTGTTATTTTCACTAAAACAAAAAATTAGAAGTTTTTTTTTTTTTAGCTAGAAAAGTTTGAAACTGCAAAAAGCCGATAAAAAGGACAAAATAAAGATGTAAAGATATGTACGATATAAAGACAAAAGTTGCAAAAGCTGTTTGACAGTGCTAATTCTAGGTTGGGCGGCCGCTGGTTTTGGGCAATTTACCTCGGCGCCCACGGCTAGGCTTCCAAGGTTCGTTTGAGAGTGCTTATTCTGGTTAGCCGGCCGCTGGTTTTGGGCAATTTACCTCGGCGCCCACGGCTTATGCTTCCAGAATTTGTATTTTCATTGATTATTTGTCCCACGCCATATTTGAATGAGGAAGTGATTGAGTAGCAGTAAATGGGTATACAGTATCATTTAATAATTTAAATTTTTAGGCAAATAGATAAGCGCTCATCCATTACATTGGTATTAGAATCAGACCCAATCTTTAATCCGATGTCAAGTTAAGTGCCCAACCCGAAAGGTATTCGGGTGAGCCACCCCCGAGTAGGCAGGGTGACCTGATCGCAACGAGAGCATTGCGAGTTTAAGTTTGGGAGAATGTTACAAGGGTCATGTCTTATATTGGATCCAGATAGAAAAGTGATTCAATATAAATGGGTGGATATGTAGCACTACCCAATATTTCAAAGGATGCGTGTTTCAAATATTTTCAAATATTTAGAACCGTTGAGTTTTGATTTCGGTTCAAAGTTTGTAACCGGAACGAGAATCGTTAGGAACGAAAACAATACTAATAATTATATATATTATTTTTTAATTATATAATTACTAATACTTATACCTATATTTATTGAATATTATATATAATGTATATATATATATATACACACACTTATGTCCATTGATGTTTGTTGTGCTATAAGGTATTGCTAAAAAAAATTAAAAATAAAAAGGGAAACTAAAATCGTGGAATAGGATCGGTTCGGACTCCATTCCCCAACAATTTCGATTTTGGTTCCGGCAAAAATAGAACGGGCCGGAAAGTTCTAATACTGTACACGGTGAATGGACTTTAGGGCCTCTTCCGTATGGATTACTAACATACAGTGAAAAGTTTCGTGAATAAAAGAAAAATTAATTTTCACTATCATGAAATTCTTTGAATAATGTTGTGGAAAAATGTCAATTAAAGGGATGGCATAAAAGTTATAAAAATATATATATTTAAATCTAAAATCTTTTATATATACTGCAAACTCATACTTTCAAAAGTATTAAGCTAATAATTTATTGAAGAAATAAATTTAATTTCAAAATTGTAGTCTTTTAAGATCAGAAGATCCTACATATTGGTACATATTCTGATGGCATTGTATTATACTCAGTTGGAAAAAAACACATAAAATTATACTCACTTAATCTCATCAAAATAAAAGAAATAAACAATTTTTCTTTTTGACTTTTAATATAAGATGAGTATAAAAATTACAAGAATATATATATATATATATATACCTAAAATGTCCTTATTTTTGTTATATAGGATAACAAATCTAAATAATTTTTTCCTTCAATAAGCTCTTTGTAATTTTGTAAATAAAATAAACATTATAAGAATATAAATAAGTAATTTTTTAGGACAGTCAAGAGAATGATATGGACCATTAACCAATCTTATAAAAAGTCATACACAAACACATTTTGTTTAGATGGATAAAAGAAAGTACATAGTTTTAAGTTCAAAGAAAATGTCCAGGAAAACAAAAAATTAAAAAATTGTGTGTCCTTTTTTTTTTTTTTTTTTTTTTTGTAGAAAAAGAATTTCTTAGAAAGTTACGCGGTTTAAATTAATTTTTCGTAAAAAAAAATGTTAAAAATCATTTTGTTAACCTTCCACTATTTCTTTCTAACCAAAACAAGCACATTCAAATGACATTTTGATTAATTTTTTCGTCCAAGTGCACAAGTAGCAAAGTGTTACCAATAGGAAAAATAGAAAAATTAATACTCGTGCATCAACCACATAATTGGATTAAAAAACATAAGGGTAAAGTACAGTAACACCCTTGAGGTTTGCCAAAAAGACACACAGTTATAAGTTACCCTATTTTTGGACAATGACATCCCCTTTCTTAAATTCCAACCAAACAAGGCCTTTAATCAATTGAAAAGACAAAATTTAAAAATTACTCCTTAATATTAAAATCAGATTTATTATAAAATATCAAACATGCTAAAAGGACACCATTGGTTCCATTAACTTGGTCATTTAATTAGGACTTTACTATCACTAATACTATTGCTTTAGTTGATAGTGGGGCAGACATGAACTGCATACAGAAATGATTGATTTCTACTCAATATTTTGAGAAAACTACTTAAGGTCTTGCCAGTGCAAATGGAAGAAAGATGCAGATTAAGTATAAACTTAATCACGTTTTTATCTGTAAATAAGGTATTTGTCCTCTATTTACCTTTTTACTTATTAAAAATATGGCATAACAGGTTATATTGGGCACTCCCTTTTTAGCCTTGATTATGCCAATTGAGAAAATTGATTTTCATGGAATATGCTCAGTTCTACAAGGTCAGTCAATAACTTTTGAGTTTTTGACCAAACAAGTAAACAAGGATATCAATGCTTATCTTGAAGGAATGCTTATCTTTAAGGAAAAGCAACTGAATTATTTGCAAAAGGAAGTCTCTTCCTTAGCAATCAGAGATTGGTACAGCCCACTGAGTAGCAGAAAATAGAGTTAATACGAGAAAATTTTCTAAAGGACGTATGCAGTGATGTCCTTAATGCTTTCTGGGAAAGGAAGAAACATATTGTTTCTTTGCCTTATGAGAAAGGTTTTACTGATCTCATGATTCCATCTAAAGCTAGTCCAAGGGGTCGTCCAAAAGTCGCGTTGGAATGTTAAGACCAAATTTTGCATTAAATTGTGCTACAGGTCGTTGTTTCTAGTAAACCGTTGACAGACGAGTAATAAGATCTCTCTTAAGCAAAACACTGACAGAATAATAACTTACTATTCATTACATAATATTATAATGATTGTACTAGTTAGATCTTAAGCATTATAATTATAACAAATGCAGATATATAATAAAAGATAGACATATATAATAATTAAAACAGAATTTAAAACTTTAAAAACGTACATAAAACTTTCTTCTTTATTGAACTTCAAAACAGATTACACTCAGAAATATTACAAGAGAGGGAGAGAGAAAAGAAAATTTAAAGATTAAGATAATCATTTTCCTCAGATTTGGAAGCTTTAGTTTTTGAAGATTCAGGTTTAGTAGCATGATTAGCCCTTGATTTCTAAATCCGTATTGGTTTGATGGATTTTTAATTGACGAAGTTCAGCTTTTAAAATGTTAACCCCCATTCTTAAATCTGGAAGATTTGCAGGATGAGAGGTCTAGCTTTGGTGTTCTAATCTATTTAGAACTTCCTGATAATAGATAGGAGAATTCATTGCAAATCTCCAAGATTTCCTCCTCTGACCACACAACTGATTGAAACATCAAAGGCTAAATTATTGGGTGAATTATCCTCGTACAACTTTCTATATATGTAAATTATAGATTTAGTTCAATGTAATCCGCCCTTGATTTGTATTCCATATACATTGGACAACACTATAAATATATGAATCCATATACCAGTCACTGTGTGACAGATTCTTCAATTACTCTTTATGGTCTCAGAGCATTTTTGACTTTAATGAGAATTGTAGATCATATCAGTCAAAAGATGGCTTCTTCTTCACCATCCAACACCACTACTTTGTCATCATCACATGCTTCTAATACCCTTGTTTTGTCAAACATCTCAAATTTAGTTCCAATCAAGCTAGATCAAAACAACTATCATGTCTGGAGATCACTTTTTTATCCAATTCTTCGTGCCCATGATCTTTTGGGTTTTGTTGATGGTTCTATGCCCTATCCACCTCAATTCCTTATGGAATCCGATGGACAAACCTCCACTACTGTTAATCCCAAGTACACGGAGTGGATTATCAAAGATCAACACCTACTTACATGGATCAATGCCACTTTATCTGAAGTTGTTTTACTATATATTTTTGGACTTGCATCTTCACAAGCCGTTTGGTTTTATCTACAGAAATGGTATGCATCTCTCACTCATTCTCATGTGATCCATCTTAAGAATCAACTCCAAAACTTAAAGAAAGGTTCAACTCCGATCCAAGACTATCTCCAGCAGATCAAAATTATGTCTGACAAACTGGCAGCATGTGGTGCTGCAATTGATGTCGATGACTTAATTCTTCACACCTTGAATGGTCTTTTAGATACTTATTATGCTTTTAAAACTACTATCAACATCCGGTCAATGGCTAATCCCATGTCACTAGAAGAACTACATACTCTTCTCAT